GTATCTCTAACATTTTTGTTTAAGATTCATTTTCAAATTGTCGATTATCTCAAGTTATTCCACAGTATTTTAAAATAAAAACGCATTATAAATAACATTAAAGATAGGTAAATGTGACAAAACATAATCAGAAAAAATAGAAATTATTGATATTTGCAATATGCCATATTTCTCCAGCTGATAGAGATTCACAATTTGAGTAAAACCGTTATATTTTAGTAAAACCAAGCACAAATTTTCCACTTCTTTTCAGGTGTAGCTATGAACAAAAGTTTATGCGCAATACTAATACAGTTAAAATGAATAGCGTACCCCGTGAATACCTGCATCAAAAATTAATATACATTTTCATAGTTCTCGTCAAAAAGAAAGTCAGAAAAAGTATACTCATTAGGAGTCATGTATTAATATTTATGTGAGGGAAAAAAACTACAAATCAGCAACTGTAACAAAACAGTCGGGGTGAACAACTGATTGAAAACAGAATCACCTGATGAATCCTGGAGATGTTTCTAATAACCGCTTTTCAATTGGCAAACAACCAGGTTTTTATATTTTTTGACCGAACTCAACTGTCAAAGAAGTAAAGAAGGGGAGGAAAGATTATACATAAGCTTTTAATCCATTTTATTTAATTTTCACAAATTAACTGGCAGTGGATATTTTCTCTATTGGTAGTATCATTCGATATGTGTAAAATACAAAACTGCCATTCACTCACAATTTGAGTTAAAAGAGTGCGTAATTTAGAATCTGTTAATTCTTTCTGGCGAAATTATGCCAACTCAATTTTGCAATTAACAGTTTTTGATAGATAGTTAAATAGTTTACAGTTGCCTGATTTTAAATTTTTGTAAATTATTTTTATTTCATTGCAATAAACGTTAAAAGAAATTTTTATCGTCCTCCAAATCAGTTTTAATCAATTTAAACTACATTAAAATTAAATTTTAAAAAAAATATAAAAATATGTAGAAATAAGTTTTTTTAAATTACTTACTCAAAACCGCAAACCGCATCATTTTATTGTATTTAAAATGGGAGGAAAAATTAATAGAAATTCAAAAAATAATCAAGCCCTATTTTTCCTTATCCAATAAGGTGACCACCCCCCCCTTTTATCTCCTACTTTTTTAAAAAGGTATTGTGCTATATAATAATACTAAATCATCAAAAATTTGCTAATTTCAACAAAAAAAAATCAAGAAAAGGCAAATTAAAAACTTAATCTAAAATTCAAGATGGCAAGGGTAGAGGCCTCTTGATAGATTTCACTTTTCCTCACTTAAATATTTATTCATGGCTCCTAGTAAGTGTAATCTTTGACTTCAGTCTTAACAAAAATTATATTAATTTTAATCATCGCGGCACATATCGTAATAAAATTGAAAAGGTAATTTATTACTAAATATTCAATAGTCATAATTAAATTTATAAGTTGGCTGTTTAGTTGAAATCAGAACTTCGATCCTGGTCTTTAAAAAGAGAAAAATCAGAGTCACCCACAAAGTGGCTAGAGTTTAATTACCACTTCCACTTATCAGAAGTGCGATGTGTACGTGAAATCATCAAACGCAAACACAAAGGGTTCGCTGCCTTTGAGCACTCATTAATTCCATCCCGACAACCGATTGGTGCCTCAAACAATTGACTGCGTCCACACGTATTTGGAATATTCATGAACTTCCCCAAGGGCCCTCTTAATTTCCGGTGAACTTTCACCAAACGGAAGTGACTTGGAAATTGAGGAAGTACCCCCAGAATACTTGTCCTCAAGTTTCTGTCCGCCAAAGAAGAAAGATAGAGGCGTGAGAAATTCTTCAAAAAATGTCCTTTAAAGAATATTCAAACAACTTGGCGTATCGATGTTAAGATTCTTCACCCTTAAGGGAGTTCTTGATCATCGCTAATTGGTACAAACCGCTATTGAATTCCCAGTTGCTGTTTGCCAAGTGATACCAGCAATCTAATAGTTTGGCGGGAGAAATGGCGATAATTTGACCGGATTAGAGCCGCTGCGTAACTCATTAGCATTTTCTATGATGTTGGAATTTTTCTTGCTGTGAAAACTGTTAGAAGCTAGGGAATTTTGTTTCGAGGGAGGACACTTATTTATTTTTGTTTTTGGTTGTTAAATCATTCACTGAGACGAGGATTTATGGTTCTTTGTGAGTATTAATCATAATTTTTAAATGAGCATGAAAACAAATTTCTTAAAGAGATTTAAATTAAAGCCACAACGATGCTAACATAGCAAAATATTTGAAAGAAATTAGTTTGATTATGATATTAAACATGCTTATATATTTTGATAAATGTTGCTTTATTAGAAAAGAATTTTAATTAACAGATATCATTTAAGAACTATTTTTAAATTCCGAGGAAGTTTCAAAAACTAGAGATGCTCGCTGTTGCCCTACAACCCCCAAAATCATGATGCGACTTTACCGGAATCACTTCGTGATCTCAATATGTATTACTCACTTTTCTGTTATCATAATTATTCACAAAAGAGAAATTGCTGGCTACTTCAGTGAAACATTATTTTATTTAATGTGAAGTTTAATAAATCTTTAGAGAGAAGAATAAAAACATTTTTGAGCTACGTGAAGATACGAAACTTTTTAGGATGAAAAAGAAACTTTTATAAATGGCTTCAAAATTAGCAGCAGCAAAGTAACATTTTAAGAATATAACTTTCATCAAACTAAATGCTAAAAATAAGTTACTGCACCCCATTACTTTTTCTAAGGCAATTTTCACTAACAAATCATTTGTTTAGTTTTTTTACATAAAATAAAACGATGTACTTTTCTCTTTTTTAAACCATTTGAGTTTTGTTCATGCGTAAAATCGAACGAAAGTTTAGATGATTTAAAAAGTCATTTATACTTTGGTTATTACATTAATATTTGTGTATTTTTTGCCCATTACCCAAAACCTATTTTTTGGTTACTTTCCTTCATTTTGAATGCAATATCTCTAAATATTTTAGCTCGAATTACTTCGAATTTTTCATAAATGTTTTCTAATGTTCATTAATGTCTAGGGAATAGACTACGGACTAGTTGATTAAACTATTATTTTATATTTTTAAGCTAAAATAAAAATAACTAATTGTAATATTCGGTCTTTTCAGAAAATAAGTTACAATATTTGCTGTAAAATATCTCGTAAATTATATTATCTCTAATGCGTAGTCTGTCAATGAAGTTTAGTTCTTATGAGTAAAACAAGAATAATGCAAAAATAATACATTTCAATAAATCTATGTGATTTTGACTAGAGGTCAATTTTTTGACCAGTTTTCACCCCATATTTTCTGAAATAATGTTTTTTTTTTAATTTTTTATACAATTTTTTAATGTGTAATACTCACATAAATCGAAATTTAAAAAAATTCTAAAGTAAAGATTTCTATATTAAAAATTATTAAATATTACTTATGAAGCTATCCAGCTACCTTAACTATGTGATTCGTTTATTAAAACTTCTTTAATAAAAGGATTAAAATTTCTGGGCATACATATTACTAAAGAATTTCATATTTTCAAAATATAATAACATTCTTGACTTAGAAAATCAATATCGCATTAGTTTATGGATAGGTGGTACGTTTTTAAGAATATTAATATTGTAACATACGAATTGAGTTTGATATATATGTACTATATATAATGAAGGTTATGTATAAAGCTATTGAAAGTAATGCCAAACATGATAATTAAGCTTACATAATTAAATGCTAGAGATATTTCAAATCAAAAATAATATATTCAACGTAATGATCTTATTAGCATTATATACCAACTGGAACCAAAAAAGCAGCAGAACCGCAGGGAAAAAAACGGTGATAGAAATATGAAGAATCAGTTAAAAAATTTAGACATATGCAAGTCTATACCACAATGCAAAATTATACATAGCAAAAGCATTTGCTGGATAGTTGTTGGTATGGTATATAAGTAGGTACTTTATACGTCATTCTAGAGCTGCAGAATGGTTTGCCGGCGACTGTCTCGGAAGCAACTCTGAGGATGATCCGGAGACATGCCATCCCAATTTCGATCCTCCGCAAAGAGGACCTCATATGTGAGGCCACTTCTTCAATTTAGACATAGATCTGAAGAGAAAGGAAATTTTCTCCAGATCCCTGTACCCATGATACTGCTCAGCGACCGACCACAGGACTTTCAAAGATTTCATGAGCACATATACCGCAACTATTCTGTGGTCTTAACGGAGTCGAGGATAAAACCTCTGTTCCTTCGAACCGAAATACGATACTCTAACCAACCGCTGGGGTTGTTGATATGTATTCAGAAGTTTTTCCGCGGTGTTGTTCTCTTGCTTACTGAATGGAACTCTTACATCTAATATATATAGAGATTTGCAAGAAGAAGCTTTAAAATTGCCCAGATAGATTAAGTTAGCAAAAGTGAAAGATACCGGAGTAAGTTACTACTTGGCGAAGTTACTCTTAAACTTCGCTTTCTTACTCCACGTTATAAATATGTTAACTGTGAACAGCATTTTCTCCACCAGCTAAAGGACTCCTGTTAATTACACCAAAATTGCGCAAATTAATTAATCTTTAAATTCGTAATGAAAATCATCTCTAACTTAATGTGCAATTCCTTTGCAAAACGTTCTTCAAAAAAATAATTCCACGGTAAAAAAATTTTTTTTTTATTAAAACACAAATTAGGCAGCACATAATAGCTAAAATAACCTGATAAGAGTTTTAGAATTCTAGTGGCTACTGGATATAACTCAGCAATACATAATACATTCTGAGTGGGTTGAATTATTTAATTAATTATAAAATGAAATTTTAAATAGTTTATGTTCTCTTATAATTTTCTATTTAAAATTATTTTATTTAAATAAATACATTTCATCAATTATTCATAAAAAAAATTATTATTTATTTTAAGCATTATGTATTTTAACAAATAAGGTTATTCTTTTAAATGATTGCTTATTTTTTTTTCTTTCAGAAGAATAAACCGTATCAGATTACATGACATCATTTATGTTATGTTACTGAAGAAAATTTTTGGAATTAGCAGGTCAGTTTAATTAAAATACATTATTCACATAATTAATTGTTATCTTTTCATCTTCAGAAATATCATTATAAGACATTATTATCATTTATTATATTGAAAAATATCGATAACAAATTAAGTAAGATGCTGTTTTTAATAAAATTCAATTACAGAATTTAGGAGAAAAATTTTTAATATTTTATTATTTCATATTCCAAATTTATGTTCATTTAATGACATTTGATTTGAAATTTTAAAACATAAAACCATAAAAAAGCCAACAAATGTTTTTAAGAACTTCAATGTAATGCTACGCATGTTAAGTTCGTATACTTTGTATACTATTTTTCAGAAATATAAATGTTAACTTCAAATGGCTACTTTAACAATTAAAAAAATGTTGCTAAATTTTCCATTATTGACATAATATCTGTTTCCAGACCAGAAAAACTGAAAGTGATTATGTGGATATGGGTTACTCCCCACAACACATGTCATTGACAGGTTACGCCATGACCAGCTGGTCTAATTCCCCCTACAGCAAATGTATCAGTTGATGATAGTATATTTTTTCCTTAAACAAAAATTCATTAGATTAATAACCAAAGCAATATAAAATCTATGTAATAGCTTTTTAAGATCTACTTATGGTTTGAATTCTTAGTTTATCTACTAAATGATATTTTATGTAGAAAAAAGAGAAAGGAATAATTTAAATTGTAAAAACAAAACCCATTTGTTTAAAAAATGTTTTTTTTTTTTGCTGTTAGAAATGACAAAAAAAATAGTATAAAACTTTTTATCAGCAACAAACAATTATAAGCATATTAATATAGAAAAAAATTTTATCACCTCATTGTTTATAAAAAAAACTACTATTATATTTTACATTTAACATTAAATACAATGATATTTTACAACATTGTTCACTCAAAATTAACGTATGGTATTATTTGAAAAAAATTTATTTAGTACATAGCGAAGCAAATTTTGGTAAAATTACCGTACGGTATGGTAATGATATTTCAGGTTAAAAAAAAATTAAATAAACAATTCTGGTTATAAAAACTGAAGTATACGGAATTAAAAATATTTATTTGATAATTTTTCTGTTCATTTGGTAACGATTTGCCGGAAATTCTGATTTTTAAAATAATAGTTCTTATTACAGCACATGTAATAAAATACAAAACTAAAAAGTAAATTAAACAGAATTAATTGTCTTTATGTCATGCTCTAAGAAATAATGATAAAATTACTATATTTTACCACATATTATAAAACCATATTTTATTGTTACCAAACCATATTTTATTATTACCATTACCAAAGTGCTTCGGTATAAATTACCGAGCTTTTTGCTGTCCCCATAGAGCCAAAAGCACTTTCAGTTTTACCTTATTCTTGTAGTTTTGATCATGCTTTTTCTAGTAGTGTAAAGTAAAAACTAATCAGGTATATATTTTTATTTGTATGCCAGACGATGATTCTGTTTATCCTATTTTCCCAGGAGTAAGCGAGCAGCCTATATTCTTCCTGAAAACAATATTTCAAGGTTTCAGACTTTTAAAGCAGCTAGGCTGATAAGGCTTGAGTATTGTTGTTAACAGTCTGTAGAATATTATTTATAAAATGAAATATTATTTTTAAGAATAAAAATTTAATATGATATAAAATATTGTGTGATATATCATGTGAATTAAATATTTAATGATATTCAACGAAGCTCACAAATTAAGTACATAATAGTTTAAATAGTTAGCTATTTTAAGCTATATTATCTATAACTTACATAAATATAGTTTAAAGATATAGATAAGCTAAATAAATTTATCTATAAAAATAGTTATATAAGCTATATAGCTTATAAAATAATTTAACTATATTTACCCATTATAATATACCTTTTAAAAAAATTTCTAACTAAGAAAATATTTATTAAAAATCATTGAGTAATACCAGTATTTGTAAAATATTTTTGAGTCCTAAGTAATGTAGCTGGGAGGTAACTTATTAAATATTAATAAATCAGATCACAGAAGCTTCTCATTTTTTTTCAAAACGTGGATTTCTTTATTTTGACATTTTGTAGATCATTTATAATCAGCATGACAGCATAAAGTACACTATCTTGAGATGGACAAAACCAAACATCATGAATTACAGTTACAAAGTCACACAGTCATAAAATAGCATAGTATTAGCAAAATGTTTTTTTTAAGTAGTTTGTTGATAGAGATTTTTCTTATAGTTATTGTTTGTACATACTTAATTCATATTAAATGCTAAAATTAGAAGTGAAACGTTTTCAGATCATTCCTTTATTCATTATATCCAATATTTTAAACGTACTGAATAAAAAGTAAAAAAGACTTAAGTAAAAAAGAGCTTAGTTTATTTCATCTCATTTTAGCTGTATCCAATATCTACTGTGTATCTGGTTAAACTGCGGATTAAACTATAAATTATATTTGTGAGCAATTTTTATTACAAAAACAATTTATGAAAATGTTTTATAGTGATTTTGCCACCGTTTGCATAAAAATACATCTAAATTTAGGATATTTTCAAGCTGTTGCATTTAATTTCATAACAAACCGATGAATTTTAGAACTAATTTTATCTATTTTGAGAAATATCGACGAAACATTTATTTGCTACGTTTCCTCTATAAGCTTTTATACATGACTCCCTATTAGATGTCATAATTTTTTTTTTCTTTTACTTCATTTTCCAAGAAAAATATACAAAACATGTCATATTTTTTTTTAATTTATCCTTTCTTTTTTTAAAAATTGAATGTGGTTTGAGATTGCTTTGAATCTTTTATATGTGCTCTAGTATCGTACGGCTTGGAAGATATTTTCTAATTAACTGGAATTTAAATTTCTTATTTCCTCCAATTAATATTTTTTTCGAAATTGTTTTAAACATTACTGTATCATAGAGGCTTAGTTTTTTAACTGAATGAAACTTAACATAATGAGGCATTTCTTACGGCGAGAAAAAAGTGTGGTCAAAGCAACCAGAATATGATAAAATTTACTGTGTTTTGATAAAATATGATTAAATTTACTCTATGGGAATACAAAAACGAGCGGTAATTTTTATCGCAGAGCTTATTTAGTTTGGTAAATGCAACAATAAATTATAACTTTATAATAAAAGATAAAATTTAGTAAATATGGTAAAATTTAGTAATTTTATTATGATACTATTAAGTACAGCAGTGTTTCCCAAAGTGTGGTACGCGTACCCCCAGGGGTACGGGAACAGTTTAGCGAGGGTACGCGTTCTTAAGCGAAATATCTAGCAACAAACGAAAATTTCAAAAACTTTTATTTAAAAACAAAGCTAGCCATGAAAATTTACGATTACGTATTTTTCTATTGGCTATTTTTTCAACCAGCTGTGATTTTCAACTTCTGTGCAATTTTTTTCTAGTAAAAAACACATTCATTTTTTTATTAGTGGTACACAGCGTTACGAAAAATTAAGAAAGGGTACACAAAAGTCATTAGTTTGGGAAACACTGAAGTACAGTATAAAAACCATTTATTCGTTTAAATTTACTTTTAAGTTTTGTATTTTTTACTAAATGTATAGTAATAAGAATTATATTTTTGAAACCCAGAGCTCCCTGTAAACTGTTAACATATGAACAGAAAAATTTCGAAATTGATATTTTAAATACCATATATTTTCGTTTATGACCACAATTATGTTGTTTTTTTTTTTGTATTTATATCCTAAAATACCATTACCATACAGTTCGATAATTTTGCCAGAGTTTTTTTCTCTCTGTGTAAAAAGCAAATGAATATTATTTTCATTTCAATTAATTTTAATGATTCGCAGAAGATATATTTCATTAAAATAATCATAAAACGTCGAAAAAATAAGCTTCATTTACCAGTCCATTCATCGTATAGCTTTTACAATCATTTATTTAATTTTTCTTACCACTTCTCCATAAAAATGAAGAGGAGATTATTCAAATATTTCTAAAGAGAAGTATTCTGGCTTCCAATATCTATCTAAAACATTGCCAAATGACTCATTATAATATCTCTCCCATTAAAACTAAAAACATTTGCGGATGCGTTTGGCTAAAATCGCTTAGCATATCAAAAAAGTGACAAAGAAGAAAAAAAATAGCGGTTGTGTACTCTAGTAGGGGAAAAAAACTATTTCTTCAGAAAAATAACGCTAGCAAAATTCCCCAGAGGGAGATTTGAGATAGGGAAGACGAAGTTGTTTATTTTTGTCATGTGGATATATGCATAACAATGACTTTTAATTTCCCACAAGATGTCATTAGGACCTGGTGGTTTTCCCTAAAGGGAGCATTTCACTTTAACAAGAACTTAAATGAACACAAGAAAGGCTTACTTTGAAGGAGAAAATGAGCTATAAATTTAATAAATACTTCTTGATTTATTTTTACGCAATGCATGGTAGCATTAAATTGTTTTTTAATTAGATGAAATCATGTTTTTCTTTTCATTTGTTGCCTCTAAAATTACGTTTGGTCTTTATAGAGTAGTGAAAACTACATTTTACACCTGTGTTTCCCAAACTTATGACTTTTGTGTGCCCTTTCTAAATTTTTCGTAGCGCTGTGTACCACTAATAAAAAAATGAATGTATTTTTTACTTAAAAAAATTGCACAAGAGTTAAAAATCACAACTGGCTGTTGACACCACTAATTATTAACTGTTGAATCTGCAAATAATAGTCAATAGAAAAATACGTAATCAGAAATTTTCACGGCTGGCTTTGTTTAAAAATAAATTTTTTTGAAATTTTCGTTTGTTGCAAGATATTTCGCATAAGAACGCGTACCCCCGCTGAACTGTTCCCCTACCTCTGGGGGAACGCGTACCACACTTTGGGAAACACTGCTTTACACCAATTTTTCAATGCTGTTTTCATCCCTATGATTTGTGCGGCCATCTGCCAATTACTGCAGAAATTACAAAATAACTGGGGGGGAAAACAATAAAAGGTTTTGTTTACA